ACATCTCCCATTTGAACAAACATGTCTAGTCAATTGCTAAAACCTTAACTTATTTTTATTCTTGATTTATTAATTATTATTTAAAGCTGTAGTCTGTAGCTTTTTGGGGGTTAAAAATGATCCAAAATACATATTTGAGAAAATACTTAACCAGCCAATGTTCAAAACTCTCTGCTTGCAGTAGCTCGATTCAAAGCGGTAATGTGTTTAATTCCAGAGGTACTGGTGGATTTCCGCGGGAGATTCGAGCATGTCTTTGCTACCCGGTGGGTTCTTCTGCTGTTGTAGCCCATCCGCCTCAAGGTTGTGTGTGTTGTGGCTTCACAAATGGTTTGCTGCATACCTCGGTTGTAACGAGTGGTTATTTCAGTCAAAGTTTGTCTTCTATCAGCTTGAATCAGTCGGCCCATTCTCCTCTGACCTCTAGCATCAACAAGGCATTTTCGCCCACAGGACTGCCACATACTTTTATTTTTTTCCCTTTTCACACCATTCTTTGTAAACCCTAGAAATGGTTGTGTGTGAAAATCCCAGTAACTGAGCAGATTGTGAAATACTCAGACACCAACAACCATGCCACGCTTAAAATTGCTTAAATCTCCTTTCTTTCCCATTCTGACACTCAGTTTGGAGTTCAGGAGATTGTCTTGACGAGGACCACACCCCTAAATGCATTGAAGCAACTGCCGTGTGATTGGTTTATTAGATAATTGCATTAAAGAGAAATTGAACAGGTGTGCCTAATAATCCATTAGGTGAGTGTAGATTTATGGTATGGTATGGTAGTACGGCCTTAAGTAATAAATTGAACATACCCGCAGGGATGGATGGTGTTCGCAAATTCGCCTCCTTTCGCAGCCAATCTCAGTCCAAATTTCTGGACTCAACTGCATATCAATCTCCCCTGAAAACCCTGCTTTCGTTTTTCGAATACCCAAATAATTCCACACTGCAGATTTTAACTTTTGTTCGGCGGGGGATCGAGATTACAATTCGCAGCCTCTGTCTCAGACATTTTCTCCTCTACACATGTATAGGTGGAGTCTAAGCGTCAAGTGGAAGAAAGTTGCGTGAGATCTGGTTTAATTTTTTTTCCCCAAACCGTTGATAAGCAAACGCTCACAATGTGATAATCGTACATATCAATATCGTTATAAACCTTACAACCCTAGTCCAAAGAACAGTGTTATGCGAATCTGCACAGGAATGTCTTAGCTATACAGATAGAAGAGTTGCACAGAAATGCTCTAGCTACACAAGATATGGTACTCTTCACGTTCTACAGCAGGCTACAATGATTGTTAATGATTGTGGCTGCTGAAAACCACTCAACCAGAAATGAGATGGTTATCCCGAGGACGAATGCTGACACGTGTCTTTAAACTAAGTGGGAAGCTTTGTTATTTCCTTTCAGACAAGAGGTCTGTCTGAGGTTTCTGATTTCTTTAAAGATAAAAAAAAATGTCTTGCACTACTTGGCTACCTTGCAGACATACAGTATTCAATGAAACAAATAACTTTATGCTTCTCAACCTCTACGATAAGACGAGTGTCGTCCATTATTGGTGCATCGTCTTTTACATTTTCATTACATTTACATTTATTCATTTAGCTGACGCTTTTATCTAAAGCGACTTACAATTGCTACTTTATATATGTGAGAGGTCGCACGCCTCTGGAGCAACTAGGGGTTAAGTGTCTTGCTCAGGGACACATTGGTGTCTCACAGTGGATTCGAACCTGGGTCTCTCATACCAAAGGCATATGTCTGATGAGTGTTTTTTTTTTCTTTTTAAATTGCTGAAGGTCATTTGATTGACTGTTTAAAACACAATAGATATCATCAATGCGTTTTTGGGTAAAACTGCTGTGTAGTTTGGCCATGATCATTGTGTAAAATTGACCTGCCTGAATGACAGTCACAGGATGCAACTGTCTCAATGAGCACAATCAATGGAAAATGAGATACAGGGTTTCCTCATGAGTAGGCTACGATAACTGCTTAACCAGCACTACTGTGGTTATCTTAATGATTAAAAGGAAAACATTTTGCTGTAAACTTGCACCGGCCCACAGTTTTTTAATAGGCCTCTTCTCATCAGATATTCAGGACAAGCCCTGTGTGGGTGCTGGAAAGTGTTCGACATGCAGGTTAGAGTCACACTTCTCAAGGTGTTTGCATGTTTTGCGGTTTGAAATGTTAGGTTTGGCTGTTCGCAGAAATTTCAGAGAGAAAGAAGTCTACTTTTTCTCCAACTCTCGGTTTAAAACGCAGTTTATGACTCCATCAAAACACTCCTACTCACAACTGCCAACACACACAGCCACATCTGATGGTTATCTACGTGGCCATGCTTATGTGAACCTTCTGACAGAAGTAAACAAAAGCAAATGCTCTGAGGCGTTCAGGACTGTGTAAAGAACAACTGCAGTTTTTCTTTTGTTCTTAAATCAGGATTCAGAAATGACAGACTGTGTAAACATGCCTATATTTTGAAGTCCTTTAGCATTTTTACAAATCTTATTACAATACTTTATGGCAATACATTCATATGTACTACAGAAATCATTCAAGTACAATATTTACAGTACAAACATAGTGCAATAATCAGCATGTTAAATTTACAAAACAGTACACTAAATATAGTCACTTATATTTTTAACTACATAACTATATCACATAACATTAACATGAATAGTGTTAGGAAATACAGAAGCATTTTAGTAGGGCGTAGGAAAATAACAGCAGGTGTATTACAAAACCATAACTAATTTTCATGTTTTCTGATGAAAATGTAAGTGATGTTTGTCAATGCAAAACTTGCCACCACACTCTCAAGTCACTATGATTTCCAGGTCTCGATATGACTCAGGGGATATGACTGGGGATTTTTTGGCCAGTTTTATCAAATCATAAGTCTTATTCTAATAAATTTAATAACATATAAACCTCTCTTTATAAGCCCCACAGTTTGAGGTATCATTCCTGTGTATACCACAGATGGTGCAAGTATGAGCAATAATATGCTTGTGGTTGCAACATAGCCTCTGTGTAAAAAACGTGCCTCTACATACATTTTTGCAAAACTTTAAAACCGTGCCAATACAGACAATTCACTGCAGTTTCCTGCTGAAATGAACACTAGTGGCAGTAAAACACCACAAAGTCAAACAGACAACTTTTATTCCAGTTGATACAAATAATGATTATGGGGTAGATTATATCATATTTTCATAGTTCTACTAATAATACTTAGTATGTTATGACTTCAAAACTATTTCACAATAGTAGATGATATACTGTACAAACATATGTTGATGTTTGCGTCACATAACCAGCTCCATATGGCTTTTCTGATGTAGCCCAGCTAACAAAAATAGGTTATTTTTTTTTCTAATGTTCCCATGAAGTTATAAAAATATATTTTCTGAATCCCCAAAACATTTAAAAAAAAAAAAAAATGTTTTCCCTTGGTGACATTTCATTTTATAATTTTGCAAACATTATGGGAACGTTACTTTTGAATGTGAACATTCAGAAATAAACAAACAATTTAAAACAAGTAGTAACATTAAAAAAAAAAAGTCCGGCGAACATCCAACTAAAAAAATTCAGTAAGCAAACTATGTTAAATAATTTTTTTTGTGATGACATTTGGAGAATATTAGTAAAGACAAGAAAACTTTGAGCAAACGTTCTATTAAAGTTACTGGAACAACATTTGACAGAAACCTACGAATGTTCCCTGTTAGCTGGGAGTAAACTTGCTCAGTAGCTCACCGGGGACGGGTACTAATACAGGTAAGCTACTGATGCTAAGCACCTGAGTACAAGTCCCGTGAAACTCACGACAAAAAGCTCAAAGACTTGTAGAAGCGAGTGTAACCCTTCCTGTTCTAAACGCACCGCTCTGAATGGGATTTGAACCGGTGTTTCTGGCATGGGAGGTTAACAAGCCACAGTCTCTAGTGTCTGTTGCAAGTGCACCTCTTGAGGCCAGGGGAGTGATGTTTACTCGCACAGCTCTTTACTAGCTGAACTCCATTACACTCACTCACCCAACCAAACCAAACCTTCCTCCCATCCGCGCCAATGTAACTCCTGGTTTACTCTTACAGCTCTTACTAGCTGGACTTCGTTACACTCACCTCCCTAAACCTCACTCTCACCCGGGTCACGGCACCAATGTAACCCCTGGTTTACTTTGCACAGCTCTTGCTAGCTGGCCTCTGTTACACTCAACCCCCTAAACCTCACTCTCACCCGGGTCACGGCACCAATGTAACCCCTGGTTTACTCAGACAGCTCTTGCTAGCTGGCCTCTGTTACACTCACCCCCCTAAACCTCACTCCCATCCAGGTGAAACCACCACTGTAACCCCTGGTTTACTCACACAGCTCTTGCTAGCTGGCCTCTGTTACACTCAACCCCCCTAAACCTCACTCCCATTCGGGTCATGGCACCAATCTAACCCCTGGTTTACTCGCACAACTCTTACTAGCTGGCATGTGTTACACTCACCCCCTAAACCTCAGTCCCATCTGGGTCACGGCACCAATGTAACCCCTGGTTTACTCGCACAGCTCTTAATAGCTGGCCTCAGATACACTCACCCCCTTAAACCTCAGTCCCATCTGGGTCACGGCACCAATGTAACCCCTGGTTTACTCGCACAGCTCTTACTAGCTGGCCTCAGATACACTCACCCCCCTAAACCTCACTCCCATCTGGGTCACGGCACCACTGTAACCCCTGGTTTACTCAGACAGCTCTTGCTAGCTGGCCTCAGTAACACTCACCCCCCTAAACCTCACTCTCACCCGGGTCACGGCATCAATGTGACCCCTGGTTTACTCAGACAGCTCTTGCTAGCTGGCCTCAGTTACACTCACCCCCCTAAACATCAGTCCCATCCAGGTCACGGAACCATTGTAACCCCTCCGTATCTACTTGCACAGCTCCAAGCGGGATTTGAACCGACATTTTTGGCATTGGAGGTGGGTGCATTTACAAGGATGCTAAAGACCACAGTCTGTAACATCAGTCGCAAGTGTGATGCTTGGTTGCTTCAGCAAATGTATTTGTATCTCATGTTAACAGTATCGGTTAGGATTTAGTGTAGGTGGTACATTATTTTCAAACGGGATAGCACATTAACATTTAGCGCCACACACTGGATATTTTCTTTCAGAACTGCCGCAATATGTGTAACAACCAACATAGTAAAACATTGCTAGATTCACGTTCTGTTTCAGATAAAACTGAGCGGTTTCAGTGCCACTAAATAGACATTTCACCTTGAAAGTGTGACGAAGCGTGCAAGAAGCTGCGAAATATCATTTTGCAAAAATGTCACCACAGGCACGTTTTCAAGTGAGCCTGTGTAGCATAATCCTAAACAACAATATTCAAGTACCTCAAGTTTCCTCATGGGGGCTTCTGTGGTTAGCACCTATGACTCAGTGTTAAACTCTGGCACATTTACAGTAACAGTTTGAACTAGTTAACATGAGAGGATGTGGCAGTTTGTGATCATAATTATTATCAAAAAGAGTCCTAAACTGTTCGTGATTTTCTCCCAAATAGTATATATTAGGTTTACATGATCAAATGTTAAAATAGACTAACTTTAGTGGACAATGCGTGATATGATTATGATTTCACTCTGTCTATCGCTTAATGGCAGGTACTTGCTGTTTATTTCTCATTCGCCCACTCGGTGTCTGTTTTTGCTGAGGGAAAATGATGGCAGCATATTCCACTCCGTCCTGGGCCTTTGATGTCGCCTCGGCAGGTTTTACTCTGTCATCTCTTTCAGGTCTATTTTGAAAGTCTAACTCCCCATACTCCACACAGCTGACGACCACAGCACCGGATCTCCCACACTGCCCCTGCAAACAAGCCCAAGCCATAAAACATAAAGAGTGACGAAAACAGAGCTGAAATGGAATTAGTGTCCAAATGTTATTGAGTAGCTTTGAGAGATAAAGAGGTCAAGATCATACCTGTTGTGTTGTTCTGTTGTTCTGAACTGCTGGGTTTTCTGCGTCTGAGAAGCCGATTAGCATACAGTTAGCACTGAACGATTTCCACAAGCAAACTATCTAACTGCATGATCTTATAATGGGCTACAAAATGGCCACTTATATAAAATTACTTAATTAATAGCTGATGTCAACTTTAGCAAATATTAATATAAAAAAGCTGAAAGACCTTTAAGACTATGACAGTTTCTTTGCCATAGGATGAGAATGTTTTAGCATTTCCCCAGCCCAGTGTTATAAATCTCTCGCTAACATAGTAAATCTGCAAATCTTACTTATTTTAATTTAATATTTAAAGCTGTGTCCCCAAATTGTGTTAAATTGATCTGTTACTATATTTATTTTCCCTCTCCCTGGATAAGTTACTGTATATTTGGCAGTAATGGATGATATTGATCTGTAAAACCTCAACCCTGTTATCATCAATGCTTTTATTAGCGCAATTGCTGAATGCGCAAATATGCCAACATACCATTCAAAAGTCTGGGTCCATAATATTTTATAAAATGTTTTAGAAAGAAGTTTCACCAAGGCTGTATTTATTTGATCAAAAACAGTAAAAATACAGTAAAAATAGTAATATTGTGAAATAAGTATTTTAATTTAAAATAACTGTTTTCTATGTTAATATATTTTAAATTGTATTTTATTCCTGCGAATTTTCAGTACATTGCTCCAGTCTTCAGTGTCACATCAATTCAATTGAAGTGCATCCTTCAGAAATCATGCTAATATGAGGATTTGATGATTAAGAAACGATTCTGATCATGTTTTCTGGATTCTTTTGAAATAGAAATCTTGTGCAATATTAAAACTGTCTTTACTCTCGCTTTTGATCATTTTAATGTGTCCATGTGGAATAAAATAATTAGTTTCTTTCTAAAACAGACCCACATTTTTTTAAAATGCACACCAGAAGTTATGAATTTAGCATGAGATGGCACAATGCACTTAAAACATGAATTGTCTGTTCCAACTTTGAAATCTTTCAAACATTTAATTGTTAAAATCAGCCTATATCCAACTCTTAAAGCAGCTGTTTTATAGAATAATAAAATAAACCTATTAGTATCAAATATTAATACTAGCATACATTACCTGTTTTTCTTGGATTGGTCATGTAAAACCAGCACAATATGCCCACGAATATACATATAAATATTATGAGTGATGCAGAGAAGAAAATTATGAATGATTTTTGTTCCGATGTCTCCTGTTTAGGAGTCGTCGTCACTACGCCTTCAGGCGGAGGTGTGAGTACAGTTTCTGAAAGGAAAAGCACATCTTTATAAACGGCTAGTTATTATGAATAAAAACTTTCATTACAATTATCTAAAAATACAGACCCAATGGCAACAGCACATAATGTTATATATTTTATAGTTATAGTATTTCACTGAACAAAAATAATACAAAATTGAGGTTTTAAGAAGAAAACCCACCTGTTGTTTTATTCCATAATTTGACTGTAATATAGATTTTGTTGCTCTCTATAAGAGGGTTTTGATCATCAGGAAGTACCGCAATTTGGTACAGTCCTTCATCTTCCAGTGAGAGATTTGTGATGTGTAGTGTGACAGTACTGTTTTTCACATCACTGAGTACAAATCTTTCTGAGCAAAAAGAGGACATTTGTCTGCAACTTCCTTTCCTGTTGTCATTTTTGTACAGATTGGGAAAACTGCTGTCAACAGAATCTAGAAAAGTGAATTTAACCGTGATGTTTTCTTCCGACGTCCCATTGACTGTATGCGTTGATTCCACTGAAATAAAAAAAGCACACTGTCACTTTAAAATGTTTAACTGCTTAATGGCAGGTTCTCATTGGGACAATTAACCCCAATAATCAATAAATATATATTTTTTGGAACCAAAGCATGAATTTATGGTAAAACTTTTCAATAAGGTTTCATTCATTAGTTACAACTAGGGCTGTCAAACGATTTATCATGATTAATCGCATCCAAAATAAAAGTTTGTGTTTACATAATATATGTGGGTGCAATGAGTATAATTATTTTATATATATATATATATATATATATATATATATATAAATACACACACATGCTTGTATACATTTAAGACATATTTTCATGTAAATAGACTTATATATAATTTATATTATATATAAATATTTCATATATAAACAATTTTTTTTTCTTAAATTTACATGCATGTGTGCGTATTTATATATGAAGAGTTCAGATGCAAAAGCCTCTAAATGCCATTTGAAATTTTCATCTTTAATTATGATTTTTATCAAACTTGTATATTTAAGTTCAGTAATTTCACTTAAATAACAATTAATACGTAATTATCATTGCCATTTAAGTGAAATTACTGAACTTAAATATACAAGTTTGATAAAAATCATCATTAAAGATGAAAATTTCAAATGGCATTTAGAGGCTTTTGCATCTGAACTCTTCATATATTAAATAATTATACACAGTGCACCCACATATATTATGTAAACACAAACTTTTATTTTGGATGCGATTAATCGCGATTAATCGTTTGACAGCTCTATTAACAACATTAGTTATCATGATCTAACAATGACAAATACTTTAACATAGGGCTGTACAATTGTTCGTAAACAACTTTTCATTGAATTTTTTATGGCTTCCAACGATTATGAAAATACTCAAGGTAAAATAACTATTTGTTTTCCACGGCGCACATTCCTTTTCTTTACTGCGACCCAGACAGCAACACAGTGTCGGCTCAGATCCGGCCCACGTCTGTTACACATGCGTTCAATCTGGGCCGAAACTCTGACACTGTCTGGACGTGCTCTTTCGTTCCTCCCTAAAAGCCTGGACTTTGTTTCAAACATCCAAATCAGACAAATAAGTGAGTGTTGTAAAAGACGAGAGCCGACCGCTGACATGCAAAGTATACGTGGCCTTCGGATACACGCCTAAGCGGTCAAATATAGCCTACACATACACAAGTGTTCTCGTAAACACAGTCGATTGTATCTTAAGTGTCTTTTGTGTAACAGTATATGGCATTTGTGCATTCGGTCTTAAAGGGACAGCAGCCTAATAAACCTGCTGATAATCACACAAAAAGGATATTAATTGACTAATCTCGACTAAATAAATCAAGTACAGCTTAAATAAGGCTTAATCGATTAACTACACAGTAAGAAAATGCAGTGCTATTTTACATTTGACTTATTCAATTTTTGTTGTAGGATATTACTTATCTGAATGCCACTGTTCTGTACATCTTCCTGAACAATATTTTGCTTCAGATATATTTGTTTTGTCTGTTTAGTTTGTAATTAGTTCTTTGTTCTTATTGTATTGCTGACTGTTGACCCGTCTTCGGTTTTGACGACCTTTTACGCTCATTAGTTGAAAAAAAGTGAAGTACCGATTGCTGAAATTTCACTTATAACTATATAAAAATTATATATATAAAAATTAGGGCTGTCAAACGATTAATCGCGATTAATCGCATCCAAAATAAAAGTTTGTGTTTACACATTATTTGTGGGTGCACTGTGTATAATTATATACTTTGTATATATATATATACACACACACATGCATGTACATTTAGGGAAAAAAATATTATTTATATATAAAATATATTTATATTTATATATAATATAAATTATAAACAAATGTACATACAGTAAATACATGACATTATTTCTTAAATATATAAAAGCATATGTGTGTATATATATAATTATACACAGTGCACCCACATATATTATGTAAAGCACAAACTTTTATTTTGGATGCGATTAATCGTTTGACAGCCCTACTAAAAATGTATCAGATGTTTTTTTCTCATATCGTGAAATAAGACGTTTTATCGTGCACCAAAAATCGTGTGAAAATAATCGCGTTTTTAATGTTAACCAAAATAATCGTGATTATGATTTTTGCCATTATCAAGCATCTCCACTTCATCAGCATTCATAAATCTAAGTTGATCTCAACATTTCCGAATACATTTTTAAAGATCAAAAGTTGTATCTGAACATGAATGCGAAGATTTGCATTAACAAAGGTTAATAAATGCTGTAAAAAATATTGCTAGTTCATGTCATGCCTACTAATGTTATCAAATGAGACATTAACCCCTTTGCCCTACATTATAGTAAAAGCAAGTCTGTGTCATGATGTTTCTTTTCATGTTAAATAAAGCAGAGTTATCTCATTATCAACATGACGGTACAATAAAGGTCTGAAACTCTTCAAAAGGTTGTTTTGCAGATCTCTGGTTTGGTTTCTCACATTTTCCATGAGTCAAAGGAAATTTTTCGGTACTTCGTTTCTCTCTTTTTTTGTACAATACTACAAAACCTTTTATGTAATTACCAGTACAGTGAACAAAAAAAAAGGACATTATTTGAAAATTTGAAATATCAAATCAAGTGGCATTTACACGCTTGTACTGTATATCAAATACTGTTTGACTATATATATGATATTTATGCAATTCAATGGATAGATTTACTGAGTTTTCACCAACTTGAGTGTACAAAAATGTTCAAATTTCATTGGTTTTATATAGTGCCTTAATGTAGGAAACATGTTTGCAAAGCTGAAGTGAAAATGCCGTATAAAACAGCGAACTCAACAGACAGGAAAAACAACCCCCCAAAAAATGATCGTGACCTCTTTTACTCACCGCTAAGAATCAAGTACAACATGAACGATACAAGTAAGAGTTTCTTCTTGAGGTCACACTTCATGCTGCAGATGGAAGAGAGCAAGTGGCAGCCACCAGAGATGTAGACGCCTTCCCGTTTCTGCTGATTTATGCTAGCACTAACATTCTGTTTATAAGAAAACCTCCTGTTTCAGTGGGAGGTACAGTCATCGCATTCAGCCTTTTTTTCCTCTTCCTTTCATTCACTTTCAGTTCTCTATAAACCAATAGCATGAGGCAATTAAACAAATCTAAAGAAATTGCTAATGCAACAGCAGAGGGTTTTTAAATGTGGTCTGTTACATATTTGTGATGTGATTTTGGATCCTACAGTTTTGTCAAATCATTTGATCTTATTGCTCACACATTGTCACCACAAGACCACCACCGAGAGACCACCTTGAGTTTCACAATCCCACAGAGGAAGTGTGTGTGTGTGTGTGTGTGTGTGTGTATGTATTCATGCACAAACAAATTTTGGTTTGTTCAAACAACCCAAACCTAAAGTTGGTGGACTACTTCGATGGCACAGTTTAATTATTAAAAAAAATACTGGGTTATTTATGTTAATTTCCTAAGTTGCGTTTTTGGAGAAGCAAGGTTTCCGCTCGACAGCGACAATTAGTTTTAGGCCTACATACATAGGCTAAGTAATATACAAAATAAATAGGCCTACATTTGATTAGAATAAAAGAATAATACAAACTGAATATTATTTTATACATATTTTTTTAAATATATTTCATGTATTTACACATTACAACATATAGCAGCCTTTTAAATTTCAGGATGAGGATCGACCTCACTATTTTGATGGTCTATGGCATCCAAAATGTGACCCTTCCTTAGCTAATGTGTGGTTTATTGTGTTTAACGTAGGCTATTATGTCTTCCACGTTCAATATGAATTAACGTAGGATAGTTTTGTTTTTCCAGAAATCAAGACAACACGAATGTATGGCTCTGTCGAACACGCCGAGCACGTTTCCAGCCATGACGTACGCATGTTAGGTTTTGGACCGAACGCATCCGTTCATGTTCGTGACGTCATGACGTTAGACCGTTCCCCGGATGAAACCGAGTTGTTATAACAACGACGGTAAAGCGAAAGGACGGCTGCACACCAAAAGTACACGGTGTAGCTGGAGTTTTTTCACTCATGGATGCCGGAGCCAACACGTATCTCATTAGACCGAATTATAAAGACAAGTAAGATGAACTGCTGTTCCTTTTCAACGCTTAAAACTAAACTTAGCCGGTTAAAATAGCTGCTAGCTAAGCTTAACATGAATTAAAACTGGACACGCACAGAACTAAACCGCATTTATGGAGTATTAATTTGCTAAACCTGATCCAAATACCTTTTTTTTTTCGTTCGTTTTTCCTGTCGTAGGTTCAAGGCAGGGGTGGCCAAAGAGTGCATCAGAGAAATCCTCAGGGAACAGCTGTATGGAGTGCAGTATAATCCAGACGAGGTTCCCACATTATCCAGATCTTTAGCAGACTCTATTAAAAACAAGCTGAAAGGTAAGCTGTTCTTTCTGACAGGGACACAGTAACTTTACTTCATTGCAGTGCTTGAGGAATTTAGGTCGAAAATAAGGGGAAAAGGGCGTTTATTGTGTTTAAAAACGGGTTGATCTTTTTTCGCGAATTAAATGAATCAATACTCAGATCACAGTTAACAAAAATATATTCTATGAACGTTTCGCTAACGTTGCAATTAAGCTAGATTTCTGCATACTGAACGCTCAAAAACGTCACCAAAAATAAAACGTTACTTTTGAATGTTCTCTGATCATTCTGAAGCAAATAGCAACCTTAAAAAAATAAAATAAAACGCGTTCAACCAACGTTTTGTGAACATGATTAAATATCGCTCTGAACAAACTGACGTTAATGGAATATTGTTTGTTCATAACTTTGAGAGAACTATGCCAAAATGTTAGCCAAACTTCTTGAGACTGTTCCCTGTTAGCTGTTTTTTACAATTTCAACATTCACAATACCTGTTTTCCAGAGTTTTAATTGGCACCAGGATTTTTGTTAAAAAAAGAAAACGATGCCAATATTGAGTTTGCGCAGTTGACAGCAGCATTAAAAACATTACAGTGCTTCTATCCTGAAAAATAGCTTTGTTTTCATTTGTGAAATATGGCGTCTACTATGATTAAAGCCGGGTTCACACTGTACGATTTTAGCCTAAAAGATTCCCATGGTCTAGAATCTGTAGTTTGATTGCTAGTTTGACATGTTCACCGACAGCCGATTAATGGCCATTGCCTGCAGATTTGACCTCTGATGAAATTCTGGCAGTTTCAGAAAATTGAGGGACAGTCCTGCAGTTTTGCTTCTCCTTCGACAGCCATCAAACCAGAAACCAGAAGCGCATAACCTGATGACGCAATTAGTGTGACATCTACACACAGTTTCATTTTTTCCCATTTTTTTTTTTAAAGAAAAGCCATGATCATTATTAACATTAGAGATTGTTTTTTTTATGCTAGCCACAATTTCAATCCTGTATGTAAATGCAGCTCACATTTACTGAAAGTGTCACGGATTGAGTTTTCGTCCGTTCGTCCATTTTCAACGCATCTTGACTGTCGTAGTCTGACATTATTGAAAAAACTGAGATCCTAAAGTGTGACGTGGCTTACAACGGGATCATGATCGCACAGTCTGGCAAGCAACAGTCGTAAAGGACTATTATAAATCATTCAAGAATTCATATTGTTTGTGCATTTATTAACTATCCACTGCCTCAGGATTCCATCAGTCAATTTACAAAACCTATTAATAAATATAGAAAAACAATTGAATGACGTGGAAACCTTTTTTCTCATTTTTTTAGAAATTTTTTTTAGCTGAAGTATGTTTTTTGGCTAGAAACGTTGAATTATTTTGATACTTAGAGTAGATTATAAGCATAGAGTGATGATATTTGTGCACTTTTCAGATGTGGGCTTTGACAGATACAAGCTCATTGTGCAGGTGGTTGTTGGAGAGCAGCGTGGAGAGGGAGTCAAGTAAGTGTAATACTTCCTAGGAAAATGAATGAATTGTGAAAACAGGATGGTCTTTAGGAAACCCGAGCACTCGCTCTGCATTCTTCTTACGGCATAGACCCACAACCACAGACATTATCACATGCAAAACATGTCCTCAGATGTTTAGCTGTGACCTTTGGGGTGTTTGCCACTTAGATGAGGTTTCTACTGAGAATACTGATCTTTCTAGGACAGCCTTTCTCAAAGTGGGTGCCGCGGCACACTGGGGTGCCCCCTAGCTGTGTCAGGGGTGCCGCCAAAAAATTACGTAGGCTAAAAAAAATGTGGAAAAAAAAACCCAGAAAAAAAAAACAGCTGACATTTCATATATAAATATATTTGAATTTACATTCTTCTTTTTAAACATATGAACATATTAATAAAATTGTAAATTCATTTTAGATAAACATATAAAATTAATCATAAAAAAATCCGTCTCACAAGACCGAAGAAAGACACACACAACTTGACGCAAGTGACGCAATCCATAGCAACGCGTTATAGCAACACCTCAGACTGACAGAAACGTAAAAATAAACGTGAATTTAGGCCACTTTAGTTACAGCATTATGGATCGTTTTTTGAAAAGAAAATCCCCACAAGAGCCGGGGATTTTTATTTTATTTTATCTGCATCCTGCACTTCATTTGAGTTCTGCTGGTCTGGATTTGTTTTTGGGTTCTTGTATTGGGCGGTCCACCTCTTACGGTTTTATGGCGTTTGTGTCTCTGATTAATTATTTTGTGAATTACTTTGCAAACCTGTGTTTTTAAAGGTGCTATAAAGTTTTTATTATTATTGTTATTTACAGTTCATATTATGCTCTGTTCATTACTGTTCTGTCTAACTAAACAAGACATTTGCATTTAAATTTGGGTTATGCAGTGTTTTTAAATTATATTTTACACTGGGGTGCCTTGAGATTTTATGCACTTTTGAAAGGTGCCCTCACTGAAAAAAGTTTGAGAAAGGCTGTTCTAGGACACCCACATCGAGTAAGGTATAATCTGACTCACTGTGGTCTCATGTTATGAAGCTAATATCGCAGGGCATCTGAAACCCAGTGTTTAAAGTATTTGCAGATCTAATTGTAAAATAATTCAATAAGGCCTTATCCCAGATGTTTACAAACTGTACTTTATAGAATAGATTATCCATTATCATCAACGGAAAAAGTGCAGTGTTGTCATTTACATAGTTGTATATACTATACATATTATAGCATATTGAAATTTAGTAATTTTTTAGATACAATTCAAGTGTTGGTTGTAGAATAAGTCAATAATTTTCACTAAATATATTTTGATAGGATGGCTGCACGCTGCTTCTGGGATGCAGACACTGACAGCTGTGCTCAAGATATATATTTGAACGTGAGTGAGGAATTACTTTTACTGACTTTGCATTAAAATTACTTTTTTAACTCTTAGTTTATCTTTATTTTTCTGATAGGACAGCTTGTTCTGTGTGGCCGCCGCATTTGGTGTGTATTATTACTGAAGACACAGAAGATTGAGATTTTGTAGAGGGCTTATTTTTGTGATATTTATTGAAATTCAGTTTTTAATATCAATCGCATTCATGTTTGTTTGTTTGTTTGAATACCTATGTATGATATGCCGAAAATGTTAATATTACAGCAGATTTTGACATGCAATGCAGTCTGTTTCTTATACATTAAAGACACATAATTCCATTCCTGAATGCCGTCTTAATGAAAAATATCTACATAAATTGGTTAAATGTGAAAGGTTCCCCCTACTGATTGTTTATGGAAGTTACAAGAGTCAGATGACCCAGTTTCATCTTGCAAATGGTAATTTTTTTGTTTTGCCGCTGTGTGTGTTTAAAAATCAGTCAGTGTGATTGTTGAACTGACAGTGATGGACAAGCAGAGAAACCCCACGGGTGTGAAAATAAACCGATACAGATCATACTCTTACCAACAAACACTGAGAGGGGGCACTCAGATTGCAGATATATTTAAGAGGTCAGATATTAGAAACATACTAAAAAAGGCTAACATTCCTGCCTGTGGATGTTTAAGGAAGCCTTATGTTTTTTTTTCTTAATTCTTTTACATATTGGCATTTTTTTTAATAGTTAATAAATTCATACTTATTATTGACAATGAGTTATGATGACATTTATATTGTATAATAATAAAGATATATTTGACTGAAGACATACTGCATCTACAATTGCATACTGTAGGGTAGGCACTACATTTGGTTTGAAACTTAATTGCGACTTAAAAATGATGTTGCATATAGTATATCGCTGTAAAGAGTCCATCGGATGCACACTTCAGAATCTTGCAGAAGTAGTAGGTCACCCAGGAACTTTTCGCTTTCTGTTCTTTGAACACTATTCATTCAGACCATACTTCTCAGTAGGGATGGGCGATATAGCCTAAAAAATTTATCACGATAATTTCAGGAATTTATTGCGATAACGATACAAATGATGATACACTGTTTTCTTCTTAAACAAAATATACTCTTGGCTGACATGAGCATGTCTGGTAGTGCAAGTTGCAACACACATACTAGTGTGATTCAGTGGCTTTCAAAAAGAGAACAGGGCTCACACCTTAAGATTTTTGGTCAAGAAGACCAACATATTCGCTGTAGCTGGTTTCAGAAGAGACCTTTGGCATGTCGCTACATTTCCAGCAGCGCTGTACACCCTCTCTCAGGGTGTACTAGTGGCAGATGCACAAACTTTTTCACCAAACGACTGATTCACCTCACGTACCTTCCACTACTTAAGGGGATTGCTTTCATCATCTTCTCAGCAGCTGGTTTCTTGAAAACTTCCAAGACTCTTCTTCTGCCTTTTAGATGCACTCTGAGGTTCTTTTGTTGATTCAGATGACATCACAGGGGTAAGAGCCAGCATCACTTGGCATGACAGAAAGAGATTCCACCTCTCTGACTACTCTGGTTTTGATGACCAGGATCTCTTCTTGACTCATGTACTGAGTATGGAAGTGTGGCTCAAGAATTGTTGCCATGTTGATCAGTTCCTGAACCTCTTGGTCACCATATTTGATGTTCATGTAGTCCAATATTGAACTTTTAATTGTCCTGGTGAGATCGGTGTCTTCATCTTTCCCTCACTTTTGAATAGGTGAAGAGTAGGCTTCAAGCATGACACTGTGACATAGTTTTCAGAAGAGGGGGGATATGTAAAATCAAGAAGAGGCCCAAGTGCTTTACTGACAGAGTCTAGAAAATCAATATCCTGCCAAGCAGGTACTAGATGCCTGGTTGACCTGTCAGCAGCCAGGACTTTCGTAATGGCCTTCTCTTGCTCAAGTATCCGGCCGATCATCTTATGCCTTGATCCCCATTGTGTTGCTGATTCAGTCACAAGTTTTTGTGGTGGAAGGCCAAGTTCTACTTGAGCATCTTTGAGTGTTCGTGGCTTTTTCCAGCTGTGCAAAAAAACACTGACAATCGTTTTACAGACTCCCACAGCTCTGTCAATCCTGGTATACCTCTTGCTTTTCTCTGCAAAACAACAACAAACCTATTTATTTTTATGCATTTATTTGTTTCTTTTGCACAAGAATAAAATTAATACAAAAAAAATAAAAAAAGTTTAAATAAAAAAGTTAAAGTGAAGTTAAAATAGATGAAATTGTCAAACAAACGCCACTGCTTCCGTCAATTCGTTGAGTTCCTCCATCACTCCAAATGCCCCCTTGAGTTCCTCCATTACTCCAAATGCCCTCTTGAGTTCCTCCATTACTCCAAATGCCCTCTTGAGTTCCTCCATCACTCCAAATGCCCTCTTGAGTTCCTCCATCACTCCAAATGCCCTCTTGAGTTCCTCCATCACTCCATATGCCTTCTTGAGTTCCTCCATCACTCCTTATGCCCTCTTGAGTCCCTCCATCTGCAATTATGAGTCCCTCCATCACTCCAAATGCCCTCTTGAGTTCCTCCATCACTCCATATGCCCTCTTGAGTTCCTCCATCACTCCATATGCCCTCTTGAGTCCCTCCATCTGGAATTATGAGTCCCTCCATCACTCCAAATGCCCGCTTGAGTTCCTTCATCACTCCAAATGCCCTCTTGAGTTCCTCCATCACTCCATATGCCCTCTTGAGTTCCTCCATCACTCCATATGCCCTCTTGAGTCCCTCCATCTGGAATTATGAGTCCCTCAATCACTCCAAATGCCCGCTTGAGTTCCTTCATCACTCCAAATGCCCTCTTGAGTTCCTCCATCTGCAATTTTGAGTTCCTCCATCACTCCAAATGCCCTCTTGAGTTCCTCCATCACTCCTTATGCCCTCTTGAGTCCCTCCATCTGCAATTATGAGTTCCTCCATCACTCCAAATGCCATCTTGAGTCCCTCCATCACTCCATCTGCTCTTATGAGTCCCTCCACCCCTCCATCTGCCCTTATTACCTCAGATTGTGAAGCGCAACGCTGCACAGCAACAAGCTCTGGCATGAAGGTACGGCTCACCTCTGGTGAATTCATCAGAATAAAGCCATAGAATGGGAACGGGTGTTGAGATGGCAGTAGGGTTTGGGGTTCAGTGCCTGTAAATACATGCTTGTAGTTTGAATAAAGCTTTGTTTCATGTTTTGTTGACTTTAATATTTAATATTATTATTTTGTTTAGGTTTTGGGGTGGGCAAACAATGCAATTCATTCTGAGGTAATATTAATTTTTAAGGAGCGAAAGCAGAGATCTTCGAGCAGCTACCCGTCACCTTTGTGCAGATATTACAAACGCAGAGGAAAACTGTTAGGTTGTGCTGACAAGTTACTGTTGTTTTGAAGTGTTAGTGCACCTGTCGCTCATATAATTTAAACGGTAACGCTTCCTTTTACAGTACAGTACTTACAGTTTACTCACCTAGAAAGTACTGGCTAATATAAGGTAAGTACATGGAACAGGGGTAGGTGATGGGTTACACCTACCCCTTGGTACAAGTTATTACCCAGTAATTGTAGTTACTAAAATAAGTACATAGTATTTACATGGGTAACTGGACTGTAAAAGGAAGCGTTACCATTTAAACTTATAAACTTATTACATACAAGATCATAGAAAGATACCATATTTGTTTCTAACAATCATAATGACAAAACAGAAAACAAAGATCATTGGTTTGTGTACATCATAATATGGCATTTATACACAGGAAAAAAGAATAATAACAAGGCTAAATATCTTTAAATAGTTCTTCATAATACCTAAACATTTTTTTTTTTCACATCTGAACAAAGCCCTCATGAGATGGCCATTCAGAATGATAACTACCAAACAATTGCTTGTGCAAGTTCGCCCCTGTGTTTGGTTTTTCATGGTGGACCTGAAAGATGCTACTTTCACATTCAGATAACACCCAGCCACAAGCCATTCTTGAGATTCACCTTTAAAGGGCAGCCTCATCAATACCCGGTCCTGCCATTCGGCCTGTCACTAGCACCCCATAAATTTAAGAAGTGCATGGATGCAGCGCTTTCTCCCCTGAGGCAACGGGCAGTGCACGTGCTGAACTATCTCAATGATTGGCTCGTTATGTCTCAATCGAGGACCGAATAATTGACACACAGATTCATGATATTCAGCCATTTGGAATGTCTGGGTCTCAGAATCAATTATTCCAAGGGCAAACTGTTCCCCAGCCAGATTGTAATCTTTTTGTGCACAGTTATCGACTCTATAAAGATGAGAGCGCAGCTCACTCTATGCAAAATCTGATAGCCTCCTTCAGGGTAGGTGCATGTGTGCCCCTCAGGCCGCCTGCACATTATGGTGATCCAGCACTGTGTGAAAGCTCTGGTCCTTTGGAAATCACAGAACTGGTACCAGTCAGGTAATTAATTATGGGTGTGGCACTCAGGAGAAAAGTAATATTCACAGACGTCTCCAACCAAGGTTGGAGAGCACTGCACAAGGGCAAGGCTGTCTCCACTCTCTAGCTGAGCCCGGAGAATTGCTTGCATATCAACTGTCTGTAAATAAGAGCAGTTTGGTGATCCCTGAATGCTTTTCTGCCAGACCTCAGGTGAGACCACGTCTTGGTCAGCATGGATAACATGTCAGTGGTATCCTATATAAATTGCCTGGGTAGCCTCAGATCACAGTCTGTATGTCATGGCCAGAAAGCTCCTCCTTTGGTCGCATGCCAACCTGTGCTCCCTGAGAGCTGATGATGTTCCAGGAGTCCAAAAATGTGCAATACTCGTTTCCTTAGTCTCAGGGAACTGAGGTTATGTTAGTAACAGAGTACATTTCCATGTGTGGAAAACAAAAATACCTTTTCTATAGATTTGGCTTATTTTATTAAAAAAAACAAAAAAAACATGTTGAGATATTGTATTGTATGTTTCATGGTAACTGATTTGTTTGCCCCACAATAAATCATGCCCCCATAACTAATGAGACACCGACTGCGTCTATTATTGGAAACAATATATTTTTACTGATACATTTTCTTAGATGCTTTGATATTACTACCGGTAAGACCCCATGTGCCTCATTATGATTGAAGAGACTCTGAATTATGAATAAACCTTCTGAAGCGCAGTTATTATTCAGGTGGGAGGACAGGCTATTGATTTGTGGCTTTTAGCATCTCCTCAATAAAATTCTCCGGGATGAAATGACTAATGTAATTGGCTTCACAGACTTCATTTAACTTTCCCTGGAGGGACCAGTGCCATTATCCATCTCCCCTTTATCCGGATTTTACCAGTCTTTCTGTGTATATATATATATATATATATA